CCCCCCACCCTCTCCCAATACATCGTATTTCACTTTGATCGACCGTCAGAAATAAACAAACTACTGAACAAAAAATTCATGCCCTTACACATCAATCCTTACGTTTTCGTCTTTCATTTTCTTTTCCAGGGCTTCAATTATCCACCCGAGGCAGGATATGCCCTTGATCCAGACTCCGGACCACGCTATTACATGCTTGAGACTCACTACACAAATCCCCTACTGGACAACTTTATAACTGACAGTTCAGGATTGAGACTGGTGTACACTAATCAACTTCGTACCCACGATGCTGGTATTCTCAGTGTTGGCATCGATCCTAACTGGCGTCACATAATACCACCAGGACAGCGGGAGGTTGTCTCAGAGGGTCACTGTGTAACAGACTGCACTGGTCAGACGATACCCGAGAGTGGGGTCAATATGTTTGCCGTTATAATGCACACACATCAGCTGGGTAGAAAGGTCAGACTGAGGCAAATACGAGCTAGTGAGGAATTACCGCCGATTGCATCAGATACCAATTACGATCCGAATTATCAGGAGTACAGAAGATTACAGCGTCCAGCTAAAGTTTATCCGGTGAGTTTTGGTTTATGAATTTCATGATAAGTTACAGTAGCTGTGTTCAAATATTGATTAGTGAGTGCAACGTAGAGTTATTTAATTTGATGAAAATTGCTTCTGTTACTTTTTGCGATTGATTCTACGGACTATCAACTTCGTTCTCAAGGAACTCATTAAACGTTAATTATGAATTAATTACGGGGTTCTCTCATTTCCTGATGGAGTTCATTCATTATTGAACGTGGAGGCAATTAAAAGTATCATGCATTTTTCGAGGCATTATTGTTGATGAGAACAAAGTGAAATAACCAGTGAATTACTAATTCTGCTTCAGGGGGATCATCTTGTTGCTGAATGTACGTATTCGTCCGAGAGCAGGCAGACAATCACTCTGGGTGGTCTAACAACACGTGAGGAATCCTGTCTAGTATCGGCACTGTATTATCCGCGCATTGAGCTATCTCTCTGTTACTCACTACCCTCATTACCAACAGTCCTTCAGAGCCTGGGAATTCAGAAGCTCAAGCAGTAAGTCCACTTGACTAATTTCTAGCTTACCACTATCAATGATGTTGATATTAAGTGTTTGGGTTGAAGTGGGGAGAGGAAAGTCGGCTTTTATGAACAAAATCCGTGTTGTTAGGGGGGGAGGAACGACACCCCAGTGTGTCTCACGTTCATTGTATATTGCCTGTTAACGACCCTCCGAGCTGGCTAATACAGACGCATAACGTTGATTGGAGCAACTGGGTCAGGCCAATATAACCCTGTTGATTGTCATTTAAGTGTTATTAAGCGAGGACCACCTCAGAGTTTTGAGCGAAGCGTAGTGCTATTGATTAGAGTTGAAATTCATACTCAATTGGCATTGTCAGGAAAAATTGGAAATTTCGAGGACTGTTGACTGGAAATTTTCAGGAGATTGATTGAGGAATTTTATTTACGCATTAGAATATCATTCCTTGAGTACGATCTATTAAGAAGGTATATAAAGGTTTATCGTTAGATGAGATTTCCTTGACTTACTTCAGTGTTCAATCAAAGCATGAATATTCATTACCAAATTATGCTGAAGTTTCCATTAACCGAAAATTCAATTAATGGAATTCATTAAATGAAAATTGAATTGATTTTTGCATAAAATTTCAAGTTTTCAATGATACAACTCTTTCAGTGGAGTTGAAATATGCTGAAAATTTCTAAGAATTGCCCTGGAAATTGAGCCAAAAATTTGTAACAGTAAGAGTTTCTTCTGTTCAGTTCAACCATTTTGTATCCTTTTGATTTCATTAACTTATTCCATAATTCACGATAAAAGTTTTGACCCAAATGCTCGTTGAGTATGTTAAATACCTGTTTTATGGTATGTTTCCAGGGGAGCAACTCCAGTAATAATAGAAGCCCCAGCCGAGCTAGCTGGAATGACCCTAGAAGAGCGATTGATGCGTTACAACTGGGAGACGAGTTTCCAAAGTTTTCAAGAGGCAACTCATCGTGGTACATTCAAACCCCTCTGTTGGAATCGCAAAGGTGAACTTCTACCAAATACCGATGTACAGGAAGCTCATTATCCACGTATACTGCGTCCCTACAAGGAAACAATGCTACCGTGTGCTAAAAAAACACCGAGAAATAAACTATCACGTTTATTCGGTGAGGATGGTGATCTTCCTGCACCAGTTGATCCAGACAGTGATGAAGCTAATGCTGTTGAACGGGGCCAATTGGTACGCAGTAAAGTGTCACGTAGTAGTGAGGGTCCCGTTGCCGGAAGTTCCGGTGTTACGAGGGCGCCAGTTGTTCTTGTACTCACTATCATTGTTGTTGCATTCAGATGAACATTATAAATGTGTTTGTGACCGGAGTGACTGTGGAGTGCACAAAACACTGTGTTACTGTCTGGTGTTGCGATTTAAAATGAGGAGGGGGGATGAATAATGAAAAAAGAAAAATGATTAAATGTGTGAAATTTTCTCCACCCGGGCTCATGTGCAATCTATTACGCTAATTTACTGCGTACATCCTAAATAATGAGGCCGTGGCTGGAAACAAATGGCGTAAGTTGTGAAATGTAATGACGATTACACGTGCGCTTTATATTTCTTCGCTGCTCTTATTCGACGTTCACAGTCCGTCGGGAATACGGAGCCGTTGAATGTCTTTCGATTTGAATATTTTATTTTGCGCCAATGCAGATGACTATTTAATTTCAATTCTAACTTGTTGAGACTTTTTCCCCCCTCACTTCACATCGAGAGGGGTTATTATACGATTTATCGGTAAGTTACCTTGTTGCAAGGTAGAATTTTTATAGCTTCTTTGGTAATTTAAAAGGTGATGATTGATTGAGAAGAAGCGGTGAAAAAAATGTTGGCTGTTTATGCGCAGTCAGGGATTCGGCGGGGCCGATGGTAAATGCAAATGGTGAATATCTCACGTGGAAAATATTAAGAGATATTTGTATTAAATAGTAACTCACTATCACGTTTTAGCAATTCGTTTTGCAAAACCACACACGCAAGCACTAGTCGGCCGTTTCTATGCTTTTAAAATGGTCAGCTGTATCGCGCTGACTCGGCGAGACAAGTTTACAACACGGGTTTACGAAATGATATCGTCCCTTGCACGGCTCCCTGCGCAAATTTTGTATATTTTGTTAATTAGATTATTATCGTAATCGTGTTCTTTTGAGGGGTATGCACAAGTGTGGGTCGATTTGCTGCGATTATCGTTCGGAAAAATGGGGTTTATCACTTTGAAACGTTTTTGTTTCAATAAAATATCTGCGATTGGCTCGAAGACAATGCGATGCCACATTTTTTCCAACTGCCGATAGTAACTTGACCCAAACTTGTGCCACAGTTTTTGTAACATTTTGTACAGGCCATTCTATATAAAATTATATAATTATTTCTAATATCAGGATTAGGTAGGAATACGTAAACCTAAACAATTATTTATTTTTTTATTTGACGATTCTTGTAAAGAGGTAGACTATTTTGAAACGTTAAATTATTATTTTCAATTATCAGTTTCATTGAATAATTCCAGTTAAAATCGTGCATATTACTTTGTTATCGTGCATCGGCAGGCAAATTAAATATCTATTCGCATCTGTACACACAAATAAAGGCACAATTTGTGTATGGAACCCTTCGCGCACAAAATTTCGTGGCTGAATTATTCCTGAAAATCGATTTCTCTTTAGCGACTCCCCCAGCACCGGTAGATTTACCTTTATTTTTCCTTCATTCATTTTATTTTTACGTTCAAGTACTCTCTGTTTAACCAAAGGCTTTGCGCCTGTAGTAATGAGCTTTTAACGATTTGGACGACAAGAACGGAAATAACAGTGAATAAGAAAAAAAAGTAAAAAGAAAAACACAAAGAGTGTAAAATGGCCAGCGAGTATTCTAGTCTGGCAGTTGTAATTTTCGTTTTCTTAGCCTCCTCTCCACCTTTTTCAATGTTAGGACCAGCCAAAACAACACAGATACTTTAACATTGTCATTAAAAATGATAATCCACATCTGCGATTTCACTACTGAATTCTATACCTGAAACAAATATGACAAATTGATTTTTCTCGAAAATGAATAAGTGAAATTTAAGAAAAAAAAACATAACGATTTCTGTAGTCGATAATTCAATATAACTAAAAAATCCAGTAGAACATATTTTACAATTTAATACGATTATTCGTAAATGTCATAGGGATCTGTGTGTTGTAGTGCCGTAGGGCAGCGAACTTATCTAAAGAAAAATTAACGAAAATGAAAAAAAACATTAAAGATAAAAGAGTAATGTAAACTGATTATGGGGTTTTATTGGGAAATCGTTTGTCGTCGATATTGCCGTGACAAAAAAAACATTAATGCAGTCGATATTGCTTCAGAACTTTCGACAATTCAATCGACTACCGCCGACTGGTCGCGAATACTCCGGGCATTGGATTTAATCCAGCAATCATAGGGGAGGGTGGGGGGTGAATTGGTATGTGGGTGCGAGACAAATCGCATCAAAAGCTGACAGTACTGCGTGTAATATAATTATCAACTCGTTGTTATCGGCCTGGACCCGCACGGATTTCCGATTTCCCGTGAGCACGAGCTGAAAACACGCAGTAGCAGGCGGGGGTGTTGTAGTGAGGATTGAAAGTTCCGGGTTGGTAGGGGGGGAGGGACAGTTAATAGGGATTCGTTTTGGCGTAACTACCAATCGATTTGACCAACACAAACTCAATTATTGCCGTTGTACGTTCAGTTCTGGGTGAATTTGTAACATTTATGATTTAACAAAACAAAGAACGATAAGTCTAATAATACAAAAGGGATTATTTATCCGCAATACACAGTCATAACCCTAGTTTATAACTTTTTATTTCCTTGAAAATGAAGGATCAAACTGGGGGGTGATCACTCATGACATCTGGTGTAAAGATGATATTGATATTTCTGAAAGTCGAGACTTTTGTGAAATCTTTCGAATTCTCTGCAAATTTCTCCCAGAAATCTCATTCTGAATTCATCACAATATGCAATCGCTTGAAAGTATACGGAATTTCAGAGACTGTCTCTGAAATCTTTTGTAATCATTCGGGATTCTTCGAAATCTGTGAGGATTACTGAAGTTTTCATGAAATCCCTTGAAACTCCGAAAAATATTTCGGAATAAAAGTCTTTCCGGAGTGATTACCCCCTCGGGATGAAAGGATTACAATGAATAATGAACAGATATCGATGTACGCGATGATAAGTCGACTGAAATCGCTATGAGGTTTAATGCACTTATTGCGAGGCTACAGAGGGGGATTATTTTGGGTATAATAAAAAATATAAAATGTGAAACTGCCGGTGATATGTACCAGAACAATCAGCAAAATGTGACGCGCGTTATTCTCACGAGATATTAAATGGAAAACTAAATGATGTTAGATATGAGAGGAAATGAAAGAGTGAAAAATATCATGGATTTATACTCGACGATCTTGCATCATTGTGTACGTTAGTTCTTTTCTAACAATGAGTGTAAACCGTAGTTTAACCACAATACCAATCCACTTGACCCAGTAACTGATAGAAAACGATAAACCCTATAAATACAGATTTTTTTCCGTCGAGCACTGCCATTGACTGGTGGTTGACTGTTCGTTTTCAAGTACCATCGATATTTTTCAGGATTGAAAACAGTGCATTGGAGGGAATAAATTCGTCGATTGGTGTCGTGGTGACTCTACGTAAATAATAATAAAAAAAAAATGAAAAAGCCACTGACTTTGTATGTACTGTATGTAGCGAATTCAAGGAATATTGAATGCAGCCGTCTCTCACTAGGACGCGGAAGAATGAGTAGAATGTGTGTAAATAGAGAGATATTGATAATAATGAAAATTGTATATAGCTTTAATATTACGTATAGAATTCCATCGTCAGAGACAATGGCAGGCTTTTGAATACCTATTAATTTAAGTAGATAGGTATTTTGAAGGAGTGAAAAAAGAGCAAGTAAACATGTGAAGAAGTGTCGTTTAGGCGTTATTCATTTACACGTATTGTCCGCCGCCCTCGAGTCCTTATGACAGCTCCTCAAAATCTTTGTACTACCTGCCCACGCCATCTTTAATGACGAAATAAAAAGATTATGAAAACTGGAGAATAACCGAACGCTACACTATCAACTACACTGTAACAAATTGTATTATATTTTATATATATAAATATGTAAATGTTTTTCTAAAGAATCTCAATTTCTTTTCATTCAATGACCTGAATCCTTTCCTCAATGGCATCCCGTTAGTCTCATTGATATGGTAGTGAATAAATCCACATTAACTCTTTGGATTGATAGACTGAAAAGCAAAGTCTTGTACTGAGTTAATTACCAAATTGAGAAAATTAAAACTCTGACGTTAATGCGCCGAATGAACTCGTCCAATCCTTTAACCATGAGCCATTACCGAATACGTCACACACGTCAGGGCAAATCTGAATCATGCAATTACATATAACGACAAAATGTCACATTCACATATGTGGGCAAACTGGTGAATGCATTAAACAGTTTCATCTGCAGTTGGCACCTTCATTCCCATTTCCATGTTTGACAGCGCATTCGGGAAATGGTGTTTCTTTTTCTAATGTATACCGTCAAATCAATTCATTCTCCTTCCTGAATTTCCTGTTCATTTTCCATGAGCCACGTTTGAGCGGATGAAAAAAGGGGTATGCGAGGGGGGTAGCGAAGGCATGGAAAACAATTTATATACCACTATCGAAATTTCGCTATTTCAGTATCACGTGCGTAAAACTACAAGCAAGCGCTTCAACTCTCTGCTGCGCCACGTTTCTCTTTATACTTTCCAATTTATCAAAGTCTGCTGTGCAAGCGAATAGGCAACTCTTTGAGAAGCTCGCTCACGTTTCACGGATCTATCGATGTCGCGTGTGTGCCACACTAGCTTTTCCAGGGATAAATAAAAGTTTTTTTCCTCTGTACTGTTACTGGGAACAATGGTAGAATTATGGAGTTGTTTTTACTTGGATTTACATTTTGGGAGAGGTAGAAATTCGATGGATTTATCGGGAAAATTTTCATCTGGGGAGAAGTATTTCACGGGAAACTTCTTTGAGGGAGAATGACAAATTGTCGGGGCCATTCAACCCTCATTGACGGGAAAAATACACCGGAATTTTCCAATTTTACTATCGTTGAACAGTTCAGTGATTTCCAGTGCAAGCATCCCCCACTCACATCAGAATCACTGAATATAATTTGTTTACGGGCCTGTAGTATTTCACGCCACAAAGATTTCGCCCTCGCCCCTTCCCCTGTTTTCGATGAAAATTTATCGTTAAACTACCGTCACATATTTCAACGTGTATGACGTCTATGCACAGCAATTTCATACAACAAACATATCGCATATGCATGCAGCGGGGAACGGAGAGACAAATTTTTCTTCTCACTCCTGGTGTTCTCCATTTATTTTCGGTGTTTTTTTTCAGTCAAAAAAATAAATCACGATGCATCACCTGTCAGATAAACCATCCATCTTCTCGTGGAAAAAATTTCCATAGATATTTGTTATCCTATTTTTTACCTTACACTGTCAAATCTTTTTCTACATTTCAACGGTGTGAGAGAAATTGGCGTTGATGAATGCTTTTGGCGGAATAGGTGAACAGTATTAGTTTTTGAATTAAGGATGTGGACACGTGCTTTGAGCATTTTCTTTTTTTCGCTGGAATAGCCGCGTTTTGAGTATCAATTTTGTGACTCAATATTGTGAGAAATATGCACAACGCAAATCGAATGAAACTCAATGGAACTGGCAGCCGATAACGCAAACGTCATTCTTCATGTACAACTCTCAAGATCTCGTCAGGAGGGATTTCAAAAGGTGTGGACAAAGTTTAGAGCTAGTTCTTTAATCCTAAATTAGAAACTCATGATATTCAATTGTGTCAAAATGTTATTCATGTCACGAGGCATGATAAACCGCGATTTCAAGGAGCCTAACTATTTTTTCTCCAGTGAAATGCTTTTCTATTTCTGTAGTCGAACATCAGAACTTCATTTGAGCCTCATTTGACCCTAAGTTTCACAATGATTTTATGATTTCAACTTTGCAGGGCCGAATTTGAATCTCAATATTGACTCTTTCGAAAACACTGTAAAAATCTGAAAAAAAAAGTATAAAGTTAACTTTTGAAAAAAGATTGATGAAATGATTGAAAAAATTCAATTTTTAAAAATTACTGGCATTTTCTACGGATAACTGATAAACAATCTACTTTCCAGCATAAAAATTATTTGTTACTATTCCGAACAAATCGATTTCATGATCAAAAAAATAAACTTGCTGAAAGTTTCAACAATTCCAATTATTTATTCACAAACAACGAATGTATAAAAAAATAATAATCCTGTGCAAAATGTAATTTCAATGACGCTAAACATTTATTTTCTTTCTTCATTTTTCTCACGCACTTTAATTGATAAATTGGACGATTGAAAATGGTTGAATGTACAGTGTGGTCTGACCAACTCTAAAATATACCTGGATTTTCTAAATAGGTATCATCATGATGAGTATCTTCAAAAGGAATTGAATCAGTCAAATGATCGAGCAGAAATTTGAGTCTGAATAATACCAATTTGAAGCCATCATTTTAGCGAATTTACGTTGATAATTCTCGACTGATTGAGACAGTTCTGCATCATTTCTTCATATTTCATATTTCCAGGCATTTCTACTCAACATTGGGAAATCGACAAAAACCACTATCACATAGCATCCATGTGGAAGCCAAAACGGTATTTCGGCAGCATCCATAACCGAAAAATCTCCTAATTAAATTCGAGCGAAATTGTAAAAATATGATCGCAGAGAAATCATAAAATCCCACCGCTCCCTCTCTCTCATTTCGTTCAATGCCTCTTTCACACTTTACAATTTATTAGCAAGAGACGCAACCGCCCATGGTGCGTCACTGTAAATTAACAGCAAACAGAGAGAACGAAATGACCCCCCGAGCCCACATGGCCAATGACCAAACGGTGTGTTTTCCTCGTTCCACCCCCGCCTTGTTGTTTGTACGACCACACCGTTCGAGTATGAATTAAAACATAAATTTCAATCAACCGGAACGCGTCCGGCATTTATGCTTTTTGCCCCCTCTCATCCTCCTCCCCCCTTCTCTTCATTCACGACTGGAAGTACTTCACTATGTAGGAGAGTTTTTGTATGTATATGGTACTATCGGTTTAGCTTTCATGGGAAATCGGAGAGATTTTCAATTGAATCAGGCCACTGAACTTGATTGAAATCCACTCGCCTTTTTTCTTGTTTCTCTTATAAAATATTTCACACTATCATTCATCATACGGATTAAATTAAACCGGAGAGAACATTGGATTATGTTTAATCAAAAATTGAACAAAAAACATTTCATTTTTCGGAACTGATTGAATTTGCGAGAAAAAACACGAAAATAATTACCGCTGGCGTCAGAGAAAATTAGTTCGTTGCAAGTCCATCATTCTACCTTGGTAAAAAAAGGAAATTTCATAGACAGTTGACTAATAATGGATTCAACCATTTTCAATTATTAAATTTGATAATTGAATTTCGTGAAAAAAATTTGAAAGAATGAATGAATGAATATTCAGCGTTGAATTGCACTCAAATTACATTGTGCGCAGAATTATTATTTTTTCTAACATTCGTTGTTTATAAATAAATAAATTAAATTGTTTAAACTTTCGGAAATCTAATTTTTTTAGGCATGAAATCAATTTCTGATAAAATTCTAAATATGAATAAATATGTTACGATTGCGAACAAATGATGTTTAGACGGAAAATTGATTGTTTATAAATTATTTATAGAAAACTCTCATAATTTCCAAAAAATTGCACTTTTAAAATTATTTCATCAAACTTCCTCCAAAAGTAAACTTTCAATTTTTTGTTTAATATTCAGATTCAAATTCAGACTGAAATGAAAGCATTGGAGGAAAAATAACCAAAATACTTGAATATCCTTAAATTTTCAGTAGGGAACATAATGAAAATCCAGACTTTTTCTTAAAATTTTCAATTCTCAATGTTAAAAGTCGCTGAAATCCCAGCAAATCTACAATGCGATGAAAAATTCCCCAAAATGTACCGGAAATTTCCCCCAAAAATCTTCAACTTGTTCGTTCTTTATGAAGAGATTCCTTCGTCAAGTCTCATTTTGCTCTCAATTTTCTGGGACAGAACGATCAGAAATTATCCCTCACCCCAGATAACCCGAAAAACCCCTCTTATCCTCCCCCATAAGATCCCCTAAAACACTTGAAATTTGGTATCACCAGCGCTGGGATTTGGTTGATCGTATTGGGAGCTCATGGTGGAAGCGATCGTACTCCACCGGAAGAGATAAACGATGCCCGGGGACTTGGTAAGTAGATATACCGTTTCCGGCAGTAGACCAAGTCCAGGTTATACCTGTTCACCACGGTATACTCGCTCCCCCTCCCCCCCAACCCACCACCTCTAGACCGAGTGGAAAGCTAGCTTTTGCGACACGTACAAACGTTACAGCTGTATGTGTGTCTACGCTTGCATTAACCGGGTTTGAGAATCGAGAAATTGTCCGAGAGTACAACTCCAATTGTCGATAGAGGCCTGGAGGGACGAAGGGTGGGATTCAATCAGGCTTCATTGTTTAAAAGTGCTAGTCGCGATATACCGAGAGTAGAGTGTGGGGGACAGTCTATCCCCCATTGATGCTCGACTACCACATTGCCAACCCCAGTGAATCTTCCGGAACGTCCAACACCCGCACTTGATCAACCCCACCCCTAGCCGTTCCTTTTATGCTTCATTATTCCCACCGTCCTGCTTTCCCACCAGCCATTCACCTTTATTTTTTCCTCGTGAAACATTAATTACCATTACGCGAGAGAGGGAATGAGAAGGAGGTCATTCTAATTCTATTCCCCCGGGGTATCTGTCTTGACGGTGTCCTTGTCGCTGTGTCAATCCGGGGATTAGAGGTAAATCTGGGGGGTAGGTGTTCTTTAATCAATTGGACGCGAGTGAGATTATTGGACGGGATTTCTTCCAGGGTTTTGATTTACTTTGGCAATTTTTCTCATTGTAAGCTTCTTTACGTTTATAGTTCAAGATCAGAAACGTAGTGAAGCCTCTTTTGACTCTGGGTTACAGAACATTTTTCGATGATTTTTGGAT